GCCCAGCCGGGGGCGCAGGCTCTGGAGGCTGCCCGGCAAACCGTGAAGCCGGTAGCGCTTGGGCTTCGGGCAGCCCCTATGCCTCTGGACCCTGCGCCGCCGGAGCCCGGGAGGGGAAGTGCCCAGCCGGCGGCTGGGGTCCAGAGGCAAGGGGGCTGCCTGAAGCCCATAGCGCTCGGGCAGCTCGGCTCTTAAACAGAGACGAAGAGTCAGGGGAGGAGTAGAGCAGCCGTGGGAGGGGAAGTGCCCGGCCGGCATTTTCCCGGACATGTTCGGCTTTTTGGCAATTCCCCCCGGACGGGGGTTTGATTGCCGAAAAGCCGGACATGTCCGGGAAAAAACGGACGTATGGTAACCCTAAAGTAAGCCCCCTCAGTGCTATGGATTTTGCAGACACAAATCCAGCCCAGTGATGGACCCAGTTGAAGGAGGATTCAGAGCTGTACACACAACTGGTCAAGCAATAGGACAATAGCAGGAAAGTAAAATTATTATTTTACCTTATTGGGGAACAAGAAGAGAGATCAGCACCACAGGAGGGCTCACCACTGCCTCAAGCCTCACAGCAGTCTAAGGCCAATGGGGACTACAGGAAGCGGCGCAGGCTGAGGGATGTGCTGGCCGCCCTTCCGGCAGCCCCTATTGGCCTGGAGAGGCGAACCGCAGCCAGTGGGAACCGCGATCAGCCAAATCTGCGGACGCAGCAGGTAAACAAACCGGCCCGGACCACCAGGGGCTTTCCCTGAACAAGCAGCGGTCCAGCTTTGAGAAGCACTGATCTACACTACAATGGTGCTCCCACCAGTGTAAGTTGCCCACTAGATAGACTTAATAACACCACCTCTGCAAGAGACATAGTGCTTAGGTCAATGTAGTTAGGGCAACAGAGAGTGTCTATGCAGAAACTGCGTTACTCACACCGCCTATTGGCTGTCAGCACCACGCAGGGCTCTTAGCAGGAGACTGCCACCACCACCCCGAACATGGAGCTCTGGCAGCTCTAGGGAGGAGGGCCTCGATTTCATAGCACGGAGCCTAACAGCAGTAACATTGACATTCTTACACTTCTGTGGCTGCTATTATTTCACCTTTCCTCTCTAGCTCTCACTGTAAGCCCCAGGGGCCGGGGAGCTGAGATACTGTGGCCTGATGCTGCAGTGCTGTGGCCAAGGTACTCCCAGGTGGTGACCCCTCCTGCGCCGAGTACCAGGACAACGCTGGGGCTGGCCGAAGGCCTCACCACGCCTCAGGTGCCCCGCTCCCCACGATCAGACTTTGACCCGAGGCTGTGCCTGCCCCAGGGTGAGTGCCGCGCCTCCGCCCCTACCTGCCGAGATCCTGGCGGAGCTGCTCAGCCACCATCTCCTTCAGCCTCTGCCGCTCCCACGCCCCCCTCCCGCCGCCTGCTGCCGGGGCCCAGCTGGTGCCTTTCGAGACAACGTCCCCCCCACACCGCGCCATGTGCCGGGGTCCGCTGCCTCTTAGGCGGCAGCTTCTTGTACTAACGCCGGCGAGAGCGTCGATGATTGATAGACGGTCCCTGAGCTACACAGTTTATAGGACATCGCTGGAATTCACGAAGAAGCCGTACTCCGGCGTTCGCCCCGAGGGACAGCGTCCACCCTACGGCGGCGACGCCAAGCAGCCCAGGGACTCTCTCAAAACAACTAACTTGCCGGGCGCCTTCTCCACACCGGAAACCTCCGCGCATTGGACACAGCGCCAGCTTCCCTCCTCCCATTGGGCGGTCCGGAAGCGACCTTGACCAATCGAAGCTGCTCTCCTTCAGACACATCTGCTCCGCCCCCATGTTTACCAGGGCGGGGTTGCTGAGGGAGTGCTGGCCTGAGATCCGCTGTGTTTGGGGCGGAGCTCTGGCTCCGAGGGGTTAGGCAGGGCGCTGGGGCACAGGGCAACGGAGGGGTGGGGCGAGGTGGCACGTGGCGGGGATCCAGGGTCCCTGCAGGGAGGTTCCGGGGCAGCCAGCCTGGCTCGGCAGGGGCGGGGAGGAGCGTTGGATGCAGACAAGAGGTCGCTCCTGGAGCCCGGCGCGCTGTGGCAATCTGTGAATGACGCTTTAACACGTTTGTGGGGTGCCGCCGTCAGAAGGCGGCCGGTGTGGTGAATGCGGGGCCCGGCGGTACTTCCACCGCTGTCCCCTACCATTGCTGCCCTTCAGTGGCTCCCCTCTGTTTTGTCCTTGTCTCCGTCCAGCACGGGGAATGTTACTGGGGTGGGGTCCCAGAAGGGAGCCTGTTGACCTGCGTGTGCCAAATGTGCAGCCAAACAGGGTTGTACACTTTGGGATCTACCTTACTCAAAACATTTCCCTAAATAATGATCCCACCTTTCAGCCTTGAAGGATGAGCCCAACCTTCCCCAGTTATTTCCCTTCCCTTAATGACAAGCACATCACTCTCCTCCCTCATGATAAACCCTCCTGGTGTCCCTTTACCCAGGTATGACAAGTAGTCTGCCTGACATGTCTCCTGCCCCCATCACTATTGTGCTATACCTTTAGTGGAAGCAAGCTTGAAACACATACACATCTTTCTTCACACAGAGCTATGAAAATTCTAAGCATGGCATTGCATCTGGGCTGAAGGCAGTGGGAGCCTAGTACTGAGAGTCCTCTTGAAGGTTATCCCTAAATAAATGTTCTTACTGTAGTAGCACTGTTTTAACCATCAATAGAAATGGGTCATGTTATTCTCTCTGTATAAGAGACACACATCAAACCCAAACAATACTACTTTGGGGAGCAAAGAAAGACTTTTTGATCCTCTAAAGAGAACAGATCTGAGAACCCTTGAAAGAAGCCCTTTTACAAATTAATTTGATTTTGTCAGTAAGCTGACGTTGCTACATGAAGTAGACATAAAAGAGAAAGAACATAGGGAGAGCAAGGCCACCAAAGGATCCAGCAAAACTAGATATAATAGCTTCACTGCAATTCAAGCAGCAGCTGGACTTCTTCTGCTCACTGATAATATGAAACAGATCAATTTAAAGTAGCTTTTTCTCTCCATTTTCCTCTATTGTAATAAATAATATAAATATACAGTACAGCTTAGAGACAAATAATCCTAGGTCTTGGTAATTAACTAAACTAACCCAACAGGGAAGAAATCTCTTTTGAACATACATAATTCATTGGTATCCACCCAGTTGGGGGCAAATGCAGAGTAGGCAAGTTTAGCATTGATCTTGCCTTCGTCATCCATAACTGGGATCTAAATCACAAGGGAAATTTCCCCACAAACATATTCAAGCTTTATAGACTTAGAAGGCAAAGAACTTGTTTTCCAGAATGTATCTGCATTGGAAGGTAGACCATTGAACCCAATGTTATGGTCTTAAAAACATCATAAAGGACTAGCATCTTCTTGTTTTGTTTTTCCAGTCTTTAGAAATCCCCGATTGTTACAAATGTTAGGTCATTGATTCTGTTTGATAATAGCTTCTTGGAAGGTGAAATATGTTATAAAATAAGTCAGTGAAAATGTGTATCATTTCTTTAGTGTCCAGCTATCATGGTCAGATTTCTGGTTGGTGCCATTTGTTTTCATTTTCATCGATTTCATAAATTTTAAGGCCATTATGGAACCATTATGATAATCCAGTCTGACCTCCAGTAATAATAGAAGCCATAACTTTCAGTTGAACTAGAGTATATCTTTTAGAAAGACATCCAATCTTGATTAAAATACTTCAAGTGTAGGAGAATCCACCACATACCTCGCTAAATTGTTCCATTGGTTAATTAGCCACAGAGATTTTTTTTAAAAGTATGCCTTATTTAAGTTTAAAGTTGTCTAGCTTCAACTTCCAGCCCTTGGTCCTTCTTAACACCTTTGTCAGCTATGTTGAAGAACTCTTGTGTTGATACCTATAAATGGTAATCAATGTACCTCTTACCTGTTTCTTTGATAAACTAAAAAGGTTGAGCTTCTTAACGCTTTTAGTGTAAGATAGGTTTTCTTGACCTTGCATCATTCTTCTGGTTTTCGACTGAATCCTCTCCAACTTTTTCAAAACCCTTTTATTTCACTCTTTTAATTACTTGGGTCTCTTAATCCTGTGTCCAAAAGGTTTTTTTTAGGAAGTTGTAGTCATAAAATTATGCCTCTTTTCTTATGAGCAGACCCATAAACCTTTATATAAAGATGATTTACCTTCCTCTATCTTTGAATGGTGATCTAATATCTAACATTTAATCACTTCTTATTAACAGCTTTCCCCACTTGTTCATAAGTAATACTGAGTAGTTGGTGGAAAGTTTATCTTTTAATCACAGTTTCCTTCAATGGTATATAATTAGGATTAGGATTAGATATTTATTGGTAAATGTTGGAAAGATTGATTTTACAATACACATACCAAGCCACGAACATTTTTTTCCATCAATAATAATAGAAATTTACTGTTAGGCAAAGAAAAATTCTGCTTGATAGCTTATTAGAGTCAAAATCCAGATTTAAATGTTTGAATTAGGATGGTTACAAATCGACTAGTGATGAATAGTAAAAACAGGCATAATTTGTTGATTTAAGGATATTTATTTTGTATATTTTGGCATGTAAGGTTGACAATTTGTGTTTTTAACAGTTTATAAAATTTTAACTTTTTGAATCTCCATGTTTACTTTATTTAAATAATCATCTGACCCCCACATAATTTCCTGCAACTGTGAAAATTTAAATTTATAAAAATAATTTAAAATGCTAAAACCAATAATCTCACACAACAGTGAAAACTTAAATCAAAATAATCTTTAAAAATGCTTAAAAATAAATATTGATATCTGTCAAAATTATTTTTTTTTAAATCAGATTAGCCAAGCCTATATATACAGTAAAACTTATTTAAAAGGCAAGAGCTTTTCAGCATGATTTCTTATTTATATTACAATATTTTGACTAGTAAATCGGTTTTTCTACAGGCAATTAACTCTCTGTGTATTTGCAGCAATTTATTCCTGTCTCTTATCTCTGAAGTTTCTTAGGCCCAGGTCCTCAAAGATATCTAGGCTTCTATCTTCCATTGATTTCAAAGGAAGTTAGGAGCTTGAGTCTGAAAGGGTGTTTTAGGATTGAAAAGAAGTCAGTGAATCTACAGCCAGAAGCTGAAACCTGCTTAAAACTAGATGTATGTTTCAGGGATTGTTCTACCTCTCCAGCAAAGACTGGTTAAGAAACTGAAACATCTCTAGCTGCAAGGAGTGTGCACACCCTGCATGGGCCCAGCATTCTGACCTCACAGCCTTTCCAAACAACATAACTGCACTAGTTCTGTTGTGTAGAGGTGCCCTCTGCATACATGGGGAGACAGATGAGACAGCATTTATCCCTAAAAGGGGTCACCATAAGAGCTCATTTCAAATGACCATTTCATGGACATGTTTAACTCAGGATTCAGGGGAGGTTGCGGGTGGTGGGAGGGCTTTTTGCCTTAAAAATTTTAAGCGGGGGAGGGGGAAGGCATTGTGTTGCATATAGCAACAGAAGTGAAGTCTCCAGCTGTATTTATGGATGTAAAGATGAAGATGTACTTTGCGTAAAGAATGTGGGGAAAATAGATGCCTGAGTTGCCCAGCTCCAGTTGTATAAAGTCCCTCATATCCTACTGTGGCTAAGTATTCTATTTATTTGGACACTTGGCCCCGGAAGGTGTTAGGTGTCAGTGCCTACTGCAGCTGGGAGGAAAGAGTTTATAATAGCAGACAAGAGGCTTTGTCAGCTACATAGTGGGTTGAGGGAGCATTAAAACTGGGAGGAGGATTGTGTTTGTCAGGGGGAAGAAGGGAACACAGATTTGTGTCATGAGCCGTAGAAAGTTTGAGAGGCAGGAGAGCTTGAACAGAATTTGTGGGGGCCAATTTCCATTCATCTCATTGCAGGGATGCAGTTCCACAGCAGGGATGGAGCAACCTTTTCCTGGTGGAGAGTGCTGTTTCCCTCACTTTTTAGAGAAATTGGCAGCATCTTTTCTTCACAATATGGGCTAAGAAAGTGCTTTTTTTCTAAAATGAGAGTGAAGGTGGAGGGTCTTCGCTCTGAAAAGAGGGTCTTGAACAAGGAGCTGTACAGGGAGGTGACTCCAAGTTCTCCCTTCTAATGCTGGACACCCACATTTCAAGCCTTCTCTTCTCCATTGCTAGCAACCTACATCCCGTTGTTCTCTCTGACCTCCCCATGGCTAGTGAAATCCATCTTCAAACAACAACTCTCCTCTGGGTTATCACTTATTGAGTCTCTCTTTTCCCCTATGCACAGGGATCTGGCAACATTTCTTGGAGGCAAGAATGATAATTGCCAACATGGGAGGATGAATGCTGAATGGCTTTATTTGCTAGAAATTTCAACAATGATAGCATGAGCAAGGCTGCACAATAATAATGGACACATCATTTTTCAAAATGGCTATCCAGCTTTAGGAACAAATCTCTCTGTAAAGATTCAGATAGAGGGCACAATTTAAATTACATTTTATTAGATAGAAGTGGATTTGATACATAAATCATGAATATATAGCTCTTCATTTTCCATTCTTCTTGTCCAGATATGTTACATGTGAACAGATCCCTATTTTTCAATTAAGAAGAAAATATACCACATAAAACAGCTGTAATTTCACAATACAAATCTACTGGTTGAATGAAAACTGATAGTCCAACTGATACCTGACTTCTTTTTCATATGGCAGACCGCCATTATTTCATTATAAATTTGTGAAAGGCACCATATATTACAAGTGTAAAGCAAGTGAGAAACCAGAACCAAGTAACTTTCCATGATTTCCTTACTGTACAAACACATACATTTTAAGGCAGGTGTTTTTATGTGCAAAATACAAGAATACAGGTAAAACCAATGTTAACACTATATGTTCTCACACTATTTTCTTTTAGTAATAACATCGGAGTCAATATGTACAATACATCGAAAACACTTTTCCCTAACAGAGCCCAAATTAGAAGGTAGGCTGGAAATATGGTCCTGCTAATAATTAGTTTTTTAAATGTAACAGCTTTTATGTAGACCTTTAAAACATGTAGAAAAAGTCACTCTCTTTTTCTTATTGTCTCTTCTTTTAGAAAGGTCCATATCAACTTGTTAACTATGTCAGGTTGATCCTGCTGGAGCCAGTGACTGGCTTCAGACAAAATAGTTAATCTGAAATGATTTTTAACATAAATCCGAGTAGTTTCTGCCATCTCAACTTCCATAAATGCATCTCTTTCTCCCCATAACAACAAGGTAGGCATGGTGACCTCATGGTGCTGCAGAGGTAGGCAACTTTAAAAAACAAAATACACGTTTTTTAACTGTTTTTAAAAAATCATCATGACAAAATATCAGTCAAATTAACTTTCCAGTTCAAAATACATCACAGATTAGTTGCATGGTTTCTAGGATCCAATTCACTATATTACCAATAAATTACTAATTATTACCAAAGCTCTCTAATTGATCTCATGTCAGCAACATCTTCCGAGGGTATCTTTATTCTAACAGAATTTACCACAGTCCAAATCCTGCAGTTGCTTTTTCAGATAAAACCTCATTGAAGCAACACTGCAGGTCTGTACATTTGGGCCTCATTTGTTATAAAAAGAGAAATTAACATTGTCATTGTTTCAGCTTGTACGTTGGTATGAAAAAGAACTTTGTTCAGATTTACATAATACGTTATTGACTCTGCAGCAGATATTTGCAAATAATTTCTAAGTGGTCTTTGTTTTATATGATCTATCTTGAACTGTAACTCTATTTTAAAAATGTCTTTGAGTGCATAGGAAATTAGCAGAAGCAAGTAACATGGGGAGGGGTCAGATCCTAACTCCCATTAAGTAATTTTCGCACTAGTTTTCTGGTGCAATGCAGATTTAAACCCTGCAGGTCTGTCTGGTAGAGGACTCCTCAGCATGGAAGTGTATACAGGTGGCACAGAGATGGACAACCCTTTTCCTGGCACCCAGCATGGGAGTGCTGCCAGGAAAAAGGAAGTGTGACTGGTAGGCCCTTGCACTCCAGCAATCCATGAATGCTTGAACTGCTGCTTGGGACTGCAGAGAATCTGGCTCTAGAGCTATGTCTGTGAATGTTTTGTGTCACATTCTCCATTCGAGTCTTCAATGCCATGTCACAAACTGCTCTGTTTTAATGTCTATCTGTTCTAGTGATTCTGGAGAAGGTTAAAAAGGATATTCTCTTTCTTGCATTTGAGTAGTGTCCCCCCTTGATCTACTGATCAGGAGCTCAGTAACATCAATAAAAGAGAACCTGTGCCTAATATAGCCTGAATCTTACATGCTGATGAATTTTTCTATATTGGTGAATGCTGTGTCAAGTTTCAAATGATGCCAGTAGACTATCATTTAATTCCTTTTAATTGTTTTTCATAAACATTGTGTAAGATGACCAATCTGTTCAGTCTCCTAGACTTACTGAAAACCGAATGTACAGTACAGCTATAAGTAAAATATTTATGGAGAAAAACTTTCAATTGAATATTAGCCTCTGTAATGCTGAATGTAGCCAGTCACATTCAAACAGACCTACAGAATGCATAAAGACATTCAAAAGACAACAGAATTCACAGTACAAAGGGGTATAGTCTCTTTTTGAAGCAGTGGGAGTTAAATACATAAATATCTATGCACGGAGAGAATAATATTACCCGAAATTTGCATAGCATTGGGTAAAAGCTGCTTAAATCCTCAACATCAGAACTCAGGGCTTTGGAAGAATTTCTGAGGGGCTTATGGGGGGAAAAATTTGAGACACTTGGTTAACACATTGAAAAAAGAGACTTCAAAAAGTAAAATGGTTAAGGGTTTCATAACATTTAAATGACCCACTTAAACTTGCATAAATAATTAAAAATTATTTCTTTATACAACTGACTTTATATTAAAGTAAATATTTTATAAATAAAATCTTTCTGAACATTTAAAGTACAGTTAATATGCATTTGTATTGATATTTATTAATAGATCTATAAGTTACAGGACTAAGTCGTGACAGATGGTAGACAGATGTGAGATAATTGCTTGAATGTAAGCCTTATTAACCCATCAGAATTTATTTCAAATCATCCATTTTCAAATAGATGCTAAACAGTCCATCCATGCTTAAGTTTAAACTGTTTTATAAATCTTAGTGGCATATTGCAATACAGATTAACTGCAGTTGCTCAAAACAGACACCAAGGTACACTGACATTTAATCAGTTAATAACAATGATGTAATGTGATTCTTTAAAAGCAACAGAATATTTGAAATAGTTTTATTTAGACAAGCTTTTATGAGCAATTAGCATGGGGTGGAAGCTTAGGAGTTTCTTCATTTATTTCATTCTCTTTCAATCAATATATTACTCTTGTACTCAATTAGGACAATGGATATTTTGGAGATTTGATTAGTCATAGACAATTTTGAACTCAAGAAACCAGAATATTGCTCAATTAGATAATGATGTCTATGAACCATGTTGTGTGAATTCTTTTGTATGTGAAATTCAGTATGTAGCATTGTGCCTCAAGGTACCAAATAGAAAAAAGTTTCTTTTAACAAGGATTAACATGCAGATTTGCCATCTAGAAAGGGAAGGTCATGTTGTGAACTCAATACCTTTTGAAAAGGAGATATCCTCAACACACAACGGTAGCAGATTTCCTCATATACAAAATGCTGAAATATTTCCCAACCAATGCAAGAGGAAAAATCCCATGTTTTGAAAGAACATACAACAGGCTTTTACACAAACTACGGTGTACCAGAACTCAAGTTCAAAAGTTCACTTTGACAGTGTGTCAGTGCATATCTCCTAAACTGAATATACTACAAGTCAAGCAACTACCAGGCTAAGGTCTATTTAAAAAAGGGGTTGTGTATAAAGTGTAGTTTATGGAATTATTGCTATTCTCTCCCTATAAAGATATATTGCTTAGTCAAGGGAACTAGAGGATTTCAAACAACATCTCTTTGGAAATAATTCTGTAATAAAATTAAGCTCTGAAGAACTGATTACTCCAGATGGGTGGCTGGATTGTAATGAGATATGAAGCCTTTAACATCTAGGTCACAAGGTACAATCCATTATGATTAGTGAAGATGAAAGTCATTAGAATCTGAATGCTGTTCGGTGCCTTATGTAAAATAAAGTGATGGTTTCAATCCAGTTCCTAGTGAACAGGTATTCAAATCCAACAACCACCATCACAATTGGTATTCTTGCGGACAGCTTCACACAGGCAAGAACTGAATGGGTCCCAAGACTGATCTAATCCTTTAGTTCCAATGGTGCTGATGCATTGGGACTTAATTCCCTATTATATATTATTATAGGAAGACCAGGGACAGAGTAGGCCCATTACTCAATCAGGAGGAAAAGGCAGTAACAGAAAATGCAGCAATGGTTTAAGTGTTAAATGCCTTTTTTGTTTCAGTTTTCACCAAAAAGGTTAGCAGTAATCAGACAACTAACAAAGTGAACATCAGTGTAAAAGGGGTAGGATCTGAGGCTAAAATAGGGAAAGAACAAGTTAAACGTCTTCAAGTCAGCATAGCCTGATTAAATATATCCTAGAATACTTAAAGAACTGGCTGAAGAGATCTCTGAGCCATTAGCAATTATCCTTAAGAATTCATGGAGGACAGGAGAGATCCCAGAGGGCTGGAAAAAGACAAATATAATGCCTATCTATAAAAAGGGAATAAAGACAGCCCCAGGAATTATAAATCAGTCATTATCCAAAGATAATGGAGCAAATAATCAGTCAGTTTGCAAGGATCTGGAAGATAATAATGTGACAAATCATGTCAAACCAACCTTATATCCTTCTTTGACAGGGAAACAAGACTTGTGGATGGGGGAAAGCAGTAGATGTGATATACGTCAACTTTAGTAAGGCTTTTGTTATGGTCTCACATGACCTTCTCATAAGCAAACTATGGAAATATAGCCTAGATGAACCTACTATAAGGTGGGTGCACAACTAGTTGGAAAGCTGTACTCAGAAAGTTGTTATCAATGGTTCACAGTCAAGATGGAAGGGCATAGCAGGTGGAGTTCCAAAAAGATCTGTCCTGGGTCTAGTTTTGTTCAATATCCTCATAAATGATTTGGATAATGACATAGAGAGTACACTTATAAAGTATGTGGATGATACCAAGATGGGTGGGATGCCAAGTGCTTTGGAGAACAGGATTAGAATACAAAATAATCTTGACAAACTGGAGAAATTGTTTGAAATAAACAGGATGAAATTCAATAAGGACAAATGCAAAATACACTTGGGAAGGAATAACCAACTGCACAAATACAAAATGGGAAATGACTTCCTAGGAAGGAGTACTGCAGAAAGAAGACCTGAGGTTATATGGAATCACAAACTAAATATGAGTCAACAGAGTAATAATGTTGCAAAAAAAGCAAACATCATTCTAGGATGCATTAGCAGGAGTGTTGTAAGCAAGACGCAAGAAGTAATTCTTCCATTCTACTCAGCACTGGTAAGGCTTCAACTGGAGTACTGTGTCCAGTTCTGGACACCACATTTGGACAAAGTCCAGAGGAGAGCAACAAAAATGATTAAAGGTCTAGAAAACATGACCTATGAGGAAAAATTAGATTTGTTTAGTCTGGAGAAGAGAAGACTGAACAGGGACATGATAACAGTCTTCAAGTATGTAAAAGGTTATTATAAAGAGCAGGAGGACAAATTGTGCTCTTCATCCACTGAAGACAGGACAAGAAGTAATGGAAGATTTAGCAAAGATGCAGCAAAGAAGATTTAGGTTAGACATTAGGAAAAACTTGCTAACTATAAGGATAGTTAAGCACTGGAACAAATTACCTAGGGAGGTTGTGGAATCTCTATCAATGGAGGTTTTTAAGGACAGGTTAGACAAACATCTGTCAGAGATGGTCTAGATCAGTGCTTTTCAAAGCCGGTCCGCCGCTTGTTCAGGGAAAGCCCCTGGCGGTCTGGGCCGGTTTATTTACCTGCCGTGTCCGCAGGTTCAGCTGATCGCGGCTCCCACTGGCCGCGGTTTGCCGCTCCAGGCCAATGGGGGCTGCGGGAAGGGCGGCCAGCACATTCCTTGGCCCGCGCCACTTCCCGCAGCCCCCATTGGCCTGGAGCAGCGAACCGTGGCCAGTGGGAGCCACGATCGGCCGAAGCTGCGGACGCAGCAGGTAAACAAACCGGCCCAGACCGCCAGGGGCTTTCGCTGAACAAGCGGCGGATCGGCTTTGAGAAGCACTGATCTAGATAATACTTAGTCTTGCCTCAGTGCAGGGGACTCGACTAGATGATCTATCAAAGTCCCTTCCAGTCCTACATTTGTATGATACTGTGTTTCTATGATATTAATACACTATTTAGAGACTAAATCTTTGATTTGCCATGCCTATTATTAATAGGAGAAAATTTGTATCATCTCTAGACATAAAGATTTTCCTCCCTAATATATTGGCTCTTTGATTACATTTTGTCGCCATGCCATGCAATTTAAATTACATCATACTTTCTGACACTGAATCAATGTCAATTACCTGGTAAAGGACCTTGGTTTGGGAAAAGATTTACCTTTTCTCCTGCCCTTGGGGTAACAGATAAAATAATATATTTGGATTCCAAGGATTTGGCTGAGATGTTTTACTTGATTTATGAACATTATACTGACCTGAAAATATTTCTGTAGTGGTTAATGGGTCCAGTTAGTGCTCCAGGTTGAGAAAAGACGTAAAGGTAAGCTTCAATGTCCTCTGCTGTTAATCGACAGCCTTTCCTTCCAATTCCAGTAGTCCGACTGGTAAATAAGTTTTTCAGTACCTAGCGAAAACAAAACAAAACAAAAAGCACCTAAGAAATCTTGACGTTCTGGATAGCAAAACAGTGATGATGATATTTCTCCCTTTGAGATATTTGTTTAAAATCCATCTACCTCCTTGTTTGAAGTGTAAGCTACTTTTTTTAGGCAACTATAAATAATGAAGTATAGAATGTTCTTATTCCTGGTGAGGTCTATTTCAGAGTACTAAAAAATATGTAAATAAGACAAAATTCCTTCGCAGTGGGCCCTTATACTGTCATAAGCAAACACAAGCTCTGGACACAGATTTCTAGTGTCATAGAAGGAAAACATTTTTAAATGCAACAACTTGATTTAATGTCAAACTCATTGACATTTCTTTTGTTTTTCTTTTGTCTTGTTTTTGGGGTATGGTGCTACAGGTTATTTAGGCAGCACATTTTACAGGGAAGCATTCCATATTCCAGCCTGTCAGAAGTTCTTGCTTTCAAACAATCAAACTCTTCTTTAGAAACTACTGTTCTGTAAGGAAAGGAAGTTAAAATGTCAACTGAGGGAGAAAAGGGTGGGAGATCTGAGGGAGAAAAGGGCTAACATTTCTAAGAGGACGTTCCATTGACTTCAGTGGATGTTCATGTATGCAGTGGGTGTTCTATGTGCAGAGAATCTGGATATTGGCACAGGGTGTCTATGCAGTCATAGTGTGTGCCTGCAGCACATGTAAGCATACCCAAGCTAGCCTTCACCTAGCTTGGGTATGTCTACACGTGCTGCAGCCACACTTCTAGTTGCATTGTAGACATATCCACAGAAACTACTGATACTTAATGACCTGCTGAATAGTCTTGGTGTTGACATACGTACTATAGTACTGGAAGTAAGGAGTATCAAGATATATTGAAGTGCTTACCAGGAAGCCAAAAGCAAGGATAAAGCTGAAGTAAATAAAATTTTAATGCGCGCGCGCACACACACACACACACACACACACACACACACACACTCAGTGTTGCCAAAACACACATTTTTTTCACCAGTTACATGATTTTGGCCAGAGCATGTATCATTTTTACAGTGCATATATTTGTAATAAAAATAATAAAAAGTGAGTACTGTACACTTTGTATTCTGTGTTGTAATTGAAATCAATATATTTGAAAATGTGGAAAAACATCCAAAATATTTAATACATTTCAGTTGGTATTCTATTGTTTAACAGTGCAATTAAAACTGCGATTCATCACGATTAATTTTTTTAAACACGATTAATTTTTTTTGTTAATCAGCGTGAGTTAACTGCGATTTTATTTTAAAATAAAGTCACATCAAATCCAGAATTATAGTTAAGTTTTACTAGCTATCCTTAATTTTTCCATAAACGTCATACTATCAGAAAGGATCAACATAGGTGGCAGTTATTCCATCAGTAACACATTAAACATAAACAAGAGCACTCATTTTGCTTACCTTGAAATCATTTACTGTAAACATGAATTCAGGAAACCAAGGCATTTGGAAAAAGAAGTAGTAACCAGATTTAATCAATTGTGAAGGATGTTGTAGAATGTATTCTGAAATAAAAATGCCCATGAATTAAAAATGAAAGCTGATAAAATTACTGTTGATATCACTATTTTTAAAATTAAAGGAATGTTTTAAAAGTATTAATTTAGAGAGTGCTATGTGACAAGGAATTATTATAATTTTAAAAGTAAGTATGTGAGTATATGTACTGGCCATTAAAATGTAATGAATTTTGTCTTACATATATCTTAAGAACAACAAGGAGTCCGGTGGCACCTTAAAGACTAACCGATTTATTTGGGCATAAGCTTTCATAGGTGCATCTGAAGAAGTGAGGTTTTTACCCACAAAAGCTTATGCCCAAATAAATCGGTTAGTCTTTAAGGTGCCACCAGACTCCTTGTTGTTTTTGTGGATACAGACTAACCTGGCTACCCCCTGATATATATCTTAAGTAGGCAGCAAAAGGAAGGCCTGACAAAAAATCAGCAAAGGGGGCTGGACTTGAGGATTTGAGTATTTTAATCAGTTTAATTAAAATGACCTGTTTTTATTAGTCAAAACCATTTTAATTGTACAAAAACAATTAAATAAAGAACATTTTAAATATTTCTCCTCTCACAAATGTGATGCATAGAAATACTAAAGATGATAATCCATTTATGTTTTTAAATATGGCATCAATCCTATTAATGGAAGGATTAAACTTTGGAATAGTCTTCTTTCTTAGCAGGTACAAACACTGGAACCAAGATACTGTATAGTCACAGTAGCACAGTGGAAGCACACATAGCAAAGAAAACAATATAACTGAATTGATATTAAGGATCTCAAGCAGGCCTCCATTTTTTTGCAGGTGCAACTCTATGCTTGCAATGGGTTACATGTACAAACTATAACATTTAAGTAGCAAGTATAGTAGTTAGGTAGAAGTCTAAAGGCTATCATCTGTAGATGTAAAATTACACACACAATTATTTGGAGATGCAAAATTGTACCTACAAAATTGGAGCCCATCTCTGAAAAATCAGCCACGAAAGATGAATAGGAATTGTTCTTTAAAACAAAACTAATTTAATTGTATTTAATAGTTCAAGTCCCAAATAACTTTTTCAAACATTCCTATTTTGTAAATTCTTAAATTGCATCACCTGTTGCATTTTTCCTTTGACAGGTCACCAACATTGCTGATCAATGCTTGATTTTTCTGCTCTATAAGACAATGGTAAACTAACTTATTTTCAATATTGCCCGATCTCTAAAGTTTTTGTTTAAATATTATAATTTTACAAGGAGAACCATAGAGATCTGCTCAAAATTGGAAAAAGTTAACTCACCATTTTCTAATAGGCAGACTTCAGCACTGATCATTAGTAGTACATATAGTCCTCTGATATTGGGACATGTGGATGTGATGGGAAGTCAACCAATCCTGATGTGCAAACTTTGAGGAACTGTCAAAGATCTGTTATTGCTGTCACTTAACAAGAAATGATATGCAGTACACGACTAAATGATTATAGCAAGCCCCGAGGGTGTTATAGGGCACAAGCCTGAAAGTCAGGTGACTTCAGCCATGTGAAAAATGTAATGATCCCTTAGAAATGCATGGTTCAGAGTATCTCTTATTGCTATTATAAAATGCAATTTATGAATAAAAATGTGAGGAAAAAGTCAGACTTTTCATGTACTGGGCATTACAATGTTGCTTATGGCTATCAGAATGCTTTATTTATAACCTGAATCTTTTTATTCAGTGCACTGTAGACCCTAATTAATTTGTGCCATTGACTGGCAAGCCCACTGAAAATTAGAGTGGATTGTGTGAACTACTAAGCAAGTAGACAAATACACACATCAAAAAGTCTATGGCATCACAAAGTGTTCATACAGAGCCTGACTCCTGCTCCAACTGGAGTTACTGATGAAACTTCAACTGGCTCCAATGGTACAAGATAAGCCCTTATTTTTGTAAGTGTAGCTTTATTATTCATTAAAATAATCTTTAGTAGGTTAGGACCTTGAGTATATTTTGTAAGAGTAATTGAGTTTTAGGGCTTGGTTCTGATTTCACTTATACTGGTTTTACACCAGTGTTACTTCATTGGCTTAAACTTATTCACACCAAGTGGGATAAGAATCAAGCCCTTATTAAGTACTCTTCTGTTAAATATATTTGGAGAAGTGAAGTGAGACCTTAAGATTTTTAATGAGAAAAAAACAGGTCTGCAATTAAATAAAAGAAATGTAGTAAGATGCTAATGGGCATTTTAAAATTGTATGTGCACTTAATGCATAGGAAAGTAGAAATCAAGTAGCACTGGCTAGAGCCAGGCATATAGCAGATATTCTCTGTGCATACCTCACCACATAACTCTGCAAATCCACCAAAATCCTTACCTTCAACTACATGCTATTAAGCAGACTCGGATGATTGGTTTGTTACAATGAGGTTTACTGTAGTATAACATCACAAAACTCAATTTCACTTGTCTAAATGAGAATTAGATTCTCATTTACATTAAGGCTGTTTTACACAGTGGCGGATTAGCCACTGGGCCAACAGAGCCCCGGCCAATTGGGGGACCCAGAAAAATGGATGCTCCCACCCCATGACCAGCTCTGCCTGGAGCTCCTGCCGGGGAGTGGGGTCAGGGTATGGAGGCTTGCCCCGCTCCACCCACACGGCACTTCTGCCAGGGAGCAGAGCCAGGGTGCGGGAGCTTGCCCCGCTCCCCGGCAGGAATGCAGGGAGGCATGTGGAGAAAGCTTGCCCCATCCACAAATGGCTCTAATGGCTCCCAGCCTCTCCACATCAATGTGCCGCCATTCCAAAGAGAAGCTGTAGGTCTCCAATGAGTCTTACCATCCCACAGAGGGGTCTGAAGAGCCCCAGAGCATCCCTGAATCAGTGTGACCCTGTCCCTTAGGGGCTGGAAGGGTCCAGACATTCTCAGGATCCTCAAGGCTGAAGTGAGTCAATCATGATCATATCTGAGACCCTAAGCGTAGACGTGACTCCTCCCTTTGTGGCGCTAGCAGGGCTCTCACCATCCTTGGGCACTGTGGGTACAACAGCAGGTGCCTGACATGTCCTCAGAGAGGAGGGGCACTATCATGGCAGCTCCAAAGCACAAGCTAGCATCCGGTGGGGGTGGGGTGGGATGGGACCAAAGGTATGTGTCTTAGGAGAGGAGGGGAAAACTGAGCTGCCACGCACCTGCCCTTGGCCAGCAAAGGGACACCGAGAGCAATGGCCTTTGTCCTCTGGGCAATTGGGTTATGCCAGGCCATGCCCTGTGTCCTCTGCTCTCTGAGACTGGAGCACGGGCAAACGTCCTTAGGTGTGTGTGGGGGGGAGAGATGGAGAGGCTCAGCCAACATGCAATAACCAGAGAAGGGAAGGGACAAAGCAGCATATCAAGGGGTAGCGCTAGGTGACGGGACCTTCTTCGGAGTGGGCAAGGTCGGGGCATGGGGGCCTTCCCCCCTCTACCCACCCGGCACTCCTGCCACAGAGCAGGGGAAGCCCCCGCACCTCAACCCCGCTCTCTGGCAGGAGAGCTGGCTGGGCAGGTGGAACGGTACAAGCCCCCACTCCCCAGCAGGAGTGCCGGGGAGAGGCAGGGGATGGGGCACTGCAGGCGGAATGTGTGGGGAGGGACCCCTACTTGCTCTGGCCCAGGGCCCCACAAAATCATAATCCGCCTCTGGCTTTACACTTAAGTGGCAATATAATGGGTCATTTTCATCCACCTTAAGGCACCTTTGCACTGCCAGAGCCAAGTAAAGCAGCCTGAGTGTAAATGAGAATCAGGCTATGGATTTCCAAAGACAAGAAGCCAGTATATCTGCATGCCAGTACCCTCACCCACTACTGTAAAATTATGCTTTAATGCAAAATATCTGACAGCTTTGCGTTTCATTTAAATAAGGGATAGATTCCAAGAGGTGCGGAGCACTTGTAACGTTCTTTCACAGCATCCCTAGGTATCTAGGTGTGCAGTGCCTCTCCAGATCTACCCTTAAATAAGCACCAAATCTGCCTGCTTAGTGAAAATGTGAATATTTTGGGTTAATATAAAAATATTGTAAAACTCACCTGTAAATACAGAGGGATGAGGGAAATTAACCACAATAAGCTTGGTCACCATTTCCGGATAACAAATAGCAACTAACCAAGCAATCATTCCACCCCAGTCATGGCCAATCAGCATACACTTATTGTACCCTGCCACATAAAGACAGATTTTGACATCTGTTTACTGACAGTTATATGAAAATGAATTATCACATAAAATAATGACAGTTAAACAAAAACAAATGTTCCAACATATTTGCTGACAATACTTCAACGTCATTTTTTCTTAACAAATTATTTATACTGCCATAGTTAAAGATGTGTCAACACTTCCTTTATTAAACATAAAAAAGGAGATTAGCGAGTGTTATGCTTGAAATTTTTACAGGTAATTAAAAGTAATGGTTTCCATTGCAAATATACTTTGTCCCCCCTTGTATATGTGATGTAAGTCATCTTACTGCATGAGATCATTTCTGTGCTCTAATACCTATGTGCAATGTGGCCAAGTTGGTCACATTGTGTCCAAAATCTCAATAATGCATCATTATTAAGGTGGGAATTATATCCAGATAGCTGCACTTACTGCACACGTAAACAGGTAGGGATGATGGTGTACAGCACAGGCTCAGAACACTTCTTTACTTATTCATATTCTCTTTAGGTGGGAATTTCAAAAGTGCTAAGCATTGACCTAACTATGATTCCACTAATATCAGTGGGAATTTGAAAACTGACTCACAGGGAGCAGAGTTAATTCAAGACTGCTGCGCTTTAGGAAATTCCACCTTTTATTCCTTAACCCAGACAGACCTACACTGCAAAGCCCCAGTTCCTTACTGAGAATTAAAGCACTCTACATACATGTCAAGTCAGATGTGTAAAATCCAAATTATTTTGGGTTCTCTGACAGAAAGCAAGAGAGAAATGTCAAAGTAACCAACACCTTTTATCTACTTTCTGATAAAAATCTCTTTGGACACTTTTGATTTAATCTGACTTTCCAAAATAATTTATCTCTGGAGCAAAAACAAGCAGGGGACATTTGAGTCCAAGAGGTCATTTTTTTCTAGAAACTTTTAAGCCCCTGTGAAGCAGGACTTATAATGAGAGAGCGCAATACATCACAAAGCACAACTATGGCATTACTGAGGAGTTTAATAAAACTAGAATTGCTTAGAAAACGCAAACAAAGTTTGTGATATCATGCCCCATCTTTTGATGTGATTCAAAATTTTCAGAGCAGTTCTAAATTCAAACCTAGATCATCACTTTACAATTTGCCCAGTGTTTCTTGCACTGCTCTGAGTGCAGCTGGGAAGAGATAATGACTCAGAGAGTAGCAATCTGCCTCTGAATCTCCCCACTACTCTGGAGGGGAAGTATCCTACGGTGTGGTTATATCCACCACAACTACATTTCCCCCTAAATAGGGGAAACCTAGCAGCTTTACAGAGCTTGCTTCCTCTCCCATGCAGCTATCTGTGGTACACATAGCCTATGCAAGGACGTAAGGAGTACAGTATCTTATGTCCTCTTATTCCCCTTTTCGCAGCTGTGCAAGATTGGCCATGATTTGGCCTGTACAAGGGAGTACATAAATGAACAGTAAAACTCAGTTGAATACTGACAATTGAGAATTGGCTATTGTGCATATTTTAGTAAGTTGTTTTCTTTTTTATTAACACTATACAGCCCCTACATTGCTGTCACTTAGAGCATATGCACTTTGCGTAGTAGGTAATAGAAAATATCACCATGTTGTTTTGGTTTCCATCTTCTAGTAGTGAGACCTTGTAAGCGCTACTGATGCTTAAGACCCTAATCCTATAATTAGATTCACTAAGTGCAAGGGTCAGCATTAGGTGGAGACCCACTGACTTCAGTGGTACTCATCATAAGGCTATAGTACTGGATCCAGCTGTGCTACCAGATCCCATTGCAGGATGGGGGCATACAAGAGCATCTTTAGGGCTTTGCATTTGATTGAAAAGCATGTTTGCATATTCCCTATGCTGACCCAGGCATATTGGCTTGAAAACAAAACTTTTCATACTGTTCAAGAATGAGTGTGGACTAAATTCCATAAAATAAGTCAGATCTATTTGAATCAAATTTACTTAGACAATATCGTCAACTAAATGCATATATTAAAACAAAACCAATCACCTTGGAATTTTTTTTAAAATCACAGGATAGCTATTCATAGTTCTGCAACAAATGAAATGAAATTAACAACTTGGGCAGTTTGGCTTCTGTTAACGCACCTAGAGATTCCAAAATATCCTTTATATCTGTAATTAGGCAATCTAACTTGTAATTCTTCTGGTGAGAAGGCGCATCTGTTTCTCCATAACCTCTCAAATCCAGTGCCACAACTCGATATTCACTTTTAAATTCTCGCAATTGATGGCGCCAAGAATACCTAATAAAGGAGAAAAAAATGTAGTTAAAGGTTACATGGAAGAATACTAGAATTGAGTCAGTAGTACAGCCTCTATGATAGGGTGATGTTAAATTCTATTGGCTTGATTCTCTGTTATGTATGGCCACTTTTTGCCATAGCATGGTGGTTCTGTCTGGGTGGGAATTCCCACTAGAAAGGGAATCTGTAGGGAAGATGAGCTAGCATGAGTGGTTCTACACCACCATCTTCTCAAAACCCCTAAGATAGAGAGCATAGCTGAGGGAAAGAGGGTATAATCAGACTGTCTCTATGGTCCAGTTATTCATGGCTTCTAGAATGGCTCCTTAGTGCCATGGGTAGCTGGCAAAAATTAGAGCATCCCTGAGACTCCTGTAATTCTGAGGAAGCAACTGACCCCAGAATATGGGGTGTGGAGAGCTACTTCTCCTAGATGGGCGGCTCTATGTGTTTTGCCGCCCCACGCATGGCAGGCAGGCAGCTTTCGGCAGACCGCGCCTGCAGGCGGTCCGCTGGTCACACGGATTCGCCGGCATGCCTGCAGGAGGTCCGCCGGTGCCGCGCCATCAGCGTCCCCGCCGCCGAAGCCGCGGGACTGGCAGACCTCCTGCAGGCATGCTGCTGAAGCCGCGTGACTAGCGGACCGCCGGCAGGAGCGCCACTGAAAGCCGCCTGCCTGCTGCCCTCACAGCAACCAGCAGGTCGCCCCCTGCGGCTTCCCGCCCCAGGCACGTGCTTGCTGCGCTGGTGCCTGGAGCTGCCCCTGTTCTCCTGTCAACTTCTTCCTGCACCAGATAGGCTTGAATGGACCAACGAGTTGGCCCTCAAATGACAAGATGAACACATTTGTGTTTCTTTGGGGGAAAGGGGGAGGAAGGAATGATAACTCATTCAATATGTAAAGCAAAGGATTAATAACATATGTTACAAATTAATTTGATCAACTGATATTTTATGGTTATCATCTGTGCTATATTTATCTATGTGTCCTTATTCAGTCACTCTAAACTCTCCCAGAACAATGAAGATTAACAGCTGTCAGTGCGTCAGTACTGTACATGGTATTTTACTGCTTGTGTTTCTATGGAGAATAAAGACTGAAATTACTTACTTTAAAGGAAATCTAGAGTGAGGAAGAATTTAATAAGCATCCAGAGAAAGATTTGGATTATTCTTGGGTTTAGAAATAATAGATTATAACTGGATAAAAATGGTATAAAGATAATAAAAGACTGTGGGCCTTGTCCTGTTAGCTGTTAACTACGCTTCAATTCTTAATGAAATCAATTTAAATTGAACAGGAGTACTTGTGGCACCTTAGACTAACACGGCTGCTACTCTGAAATTTAAATTGAGGATACCCAACACCTTCTAGGAGGTGCTCAGAACTTGGAAGGATTTGGCCCTATATTATAATATCATTCAAGGAAATATGAAAAATGTTATGATCGTTTTAACCACAGATCATATAAAATGGACCCCTGCTTGCTAACTTTTACTATTAGCCCTATTGCAAAGATCTCAAATAAACAACGTAAATGAAGCATTTGGGAGGTCAAATAGCTTAAGGGAGAGGTGTACAATTCTGCCAGACTCCAAGTAGCATTTTATTTCAGAACCTTATGCCTTCTGCTTTGGGGGTAGTGCTAACCAATCAGGGATTTTGAACACATCATGATCAACATTACATTGTCCTTGGACTAATCAAAGAAAATGTTATTACTGTAAACACAACACCCATCATAGTTCCATCTGGGTGCCCTATGTTAATGCAAATAAATACAAGTTTTAATAAATACAGGTTTCTATAAATGACTTTTATTTTTAAAAAATCAATATACACTGCCCTGTAAGTCAAGTTTACCATGATAACTATAGGGGCTATCACAAATACCTCATTAAAGTGAAACAACATGACACAGTACAGGTCTGTCACATCTTACATGCATTTAACATGCGCGATTTCAACTTTACGTGGTTGGCAAAAACAAAACAAAAACAAAAACAAAAAAAAAGAGAAAAACATCAAATTTTAATACTACATCTGTAGTGCGGGCGATTTCGCCCACCATTGAACTCAATGGGGTTTTCGCTTTATGCACTAACCACGGAACAGAACCCCCACGTAAGATGAGACAGACCTGTAAATGTTTTCTTTTTTAATGACATACCACCTTTATATCCCCATACCCTGCTGTCATGATGGTCCATCAATCAGTTAAAGGCTTGATGAACAGATAGGTCTTGCAAACCCTGACGCTTGCCAAACTGTAGCCTTAGCAGACCACCAAGAGAAGCAGATCCCAGAGGCATGGGTCATCTAGTAAAAGTATCCTCTGTGAGTTCAATATGTATCACTGATCTTTTCATACAACACTTTTTTTTATCATATCTAAAGTATTTATCTAGTGAGACCACTGCTTTGCAGGAAAGATTTTGAAATGTTGGTAAATACCTTTATTTTCTCAAGGCTGAATAATTGGAGCTATTTTGGGTTTTTCTGATCATGTTATTTCTGGAAGCAGCTCACACATCCTTACAGGCATTCAGCTATCTGAACATTTTACTCCAATTTTAAAATTTTTATATTAGTTTCCCATAAGATTTTGTATTGATTTTTTAAAATTGCATATAAGTGACTTAATGGCAGTGGTGCATTATATATTTGACTGATCTTTTGCCAATATACACCCTCAGTTGCTCACTGAGATCAGCACTGACTGGTTATTTCATGTGTCCTAGTAATAACCTTGAGACATTGGAAGCTAGAGGATTTTGCAATTAAGCTTCATAATAGTGGAAGTTACTTCTATTCCTGTTACTATCCAAAAAGTACAGGTTTGCAGCTGCTTTATACTACTCTTAAAATTGTTATTCTTTTATCTCATGCTTTCAAAACAAAATCTCAGTTCATACATAAAATTCTGCATAGATTCAGTAAGAAGCCAACTGTAATATTTTTAGCGTGCATATTTTATCTCATGCATTACTTTATTGTTGTCTTCTTTTAAAAACAGCAGGTATAAGCTATGCTACTGGCGTTAACAATGACCTATATAGCAGTTTTCTTATTCAATATCCCATTCCATTTGAGTAGTCAGACAATACACAGAATGTTGCTAAAGGCATGACCTGCAATGATTTTAACTTGTTAAATCTGGCAGTCACAGCCTAAATGATATGGCCAAAATATTAGAAACTTTGTCCTTTCATCATTACAAATAAACACTTTAGGTTTTGTTTACTTTTGATCCACCAGGCTTCTTCATGTGCCTGCAGATGTAACCATTTTAATGGAGCCTTCTTCCCTTAGTGACAACTAAAAGTAGTTAAGCTACACGATAGACTCTAGGACTTTAAAAACCGTGCATTTCCCTCCCTGTATTTCTTATAATATATAGTATGCCATGCTATTATTTATTAATAAATATACTGATACATTTTGAATTTAAAAATCTGCCTGGGTTCTTGTGCGGGTGCCCATCACCAGTGTCTGAACACAGGAATACTCATTCTAAATGTTTATGCTTTGTCAACCCTGAAGTGTACTAGAACAGAGTAAATGGCTCTCCTGATAGTTTGATGAAAAGTGTATACACATGAAGAAATATTTCCTGAACTAGAATAGAAAGAGGTATTTTGGTTTAGATGAACACATAGAGATTATTTTGTGGATGGTACAATTGGAAAAAATGAATACATGCTCAGTTGCAGTGGTTTGTCCAATCTTAGAACTTACCATTACTGGGATATTTGAACATAGTTATGGAGAATAGCTGAGTGGATTTAAATGATATATAAACTATGTCTGTAATGAAATGAGAACAAGTGGGGGGTTTTACCAGAACTCTGGAAAGCCATGAAGCAGCAGCATGAGTGGTTTACCCCGTTCTCCAGCAGCTACATAGTGGAATCTTAACCCTGAATCCTGGAAGGGAAAAGAAAAAAAAGTATTGTGATCTGATTGCTGCCCAGTACTGCTGCAATGAGGATCTGAGTATTAATATGATTTTCAAAGGTATTCAAAGAGATTAATTTTGTGCTTAATATAACTGCCAAATTGACAGCCCTGGAAATCGATGTCTTCTGTATCTTCACAGATCAGTGATGTATGGGCAATGGTAGTACAAGCTTACCAACTATTCTGGAAGGATCTCTTCTAGCAGGTGACAAGGTTGTTCAGTTTCTATGCCTATTCAGTCATGTGACTCTGCTAAGATTTCCAAGAGCGCCAACTGGTGTGATGCCCAGGTAACTAGGTACTAGGTAACTAGGAACTAGCACCCACTCAGTTCACATAGAACACCAAATAACCACTAGATAGAATGCATTTTAGTCCATGCCAAGAGTACTTTATATCTGCTGTACAGCTTGTGAGTTAGATGATGCTACTCTCAGCTATTTAAAATTATATCACATTGAAAACAGGTATAGAGTTGACAGACCATATGGGTTTTTTAAAAATGAAAGTTTGTCAAAATTAATTAAGGTAGTTAAAATTGTATATTTTTGATGTGCCATAAGGTTTAAATCACATTTATTTTTATTTTAAAAAGTTGAAGGTCCATTAAGGCTTTTCTCAGAGAGATTGGAAAAAAAGATCTATTAACATGACTGTCGTCACCTATCTTGTCTTTATTTACTGAAATTGGCTGTAGCCATGAGCCCCCTGATAATTTTTATCATTGTGAAAATTACCAATAGGCAAGGTGTTTATTGTCAGTAGGCCAGAAGCTGAGTCAGTGTAAACTGACATAGCTCTATTTAAATGACTGGAGCTATGCTGAGATACACCAACTGAAGGTTAGACTGAATAAATGGGCTGAAATGATGTCCGAATAGATCTGATGGGTTCCTGCCTCCCTAATGAGGAAAACTTAATGCTCAGCCATGGACTTGAGAGTGACCCAAAAGGTTACATGTATAGAGCTGACTAATATGCTCTGAATATTGCCTATGAGATTGTACATTGTCTCCACACAGAAAGAAGTTTTATGGTAGCTCTCAGGAGATACTGCTGGTGAAGACCTTCCTGAGAGAAGGGGATATGGGACTTGGGAAAGAGTTGGCTTGAGCAGAATTAATCTGTTGGTTGGGTTTCACATAAGGAGAGATTGTACTTCTTCTTTATTGATGTAACAGAATGTACTGCCTCCTCTCTACAACCTGATCAATTAATGCTTTCGCCTGTGGATCAAGAGCTGATGTACTCTCCACGATGGTGAAAATACAGTAGCCAGAACTTCCCGGCTGTATCTGCTTGAACTTCCTTGAGCAGCCCTGACACTGCAAACGCATCAACTAATATCTTGGGACCAAGGTTCTAGAAGGGACATTTTTTTTCTCTTTTTCATACTTATTTTGGATTTTATTAAGAATTTGAGCCTGATTCCCCCCACCTTTCCCCCTATTACAACAGTTTTACACACTGAAACTCCAGTGAAGACAAGAAATTAATTCAGGAAAGTTTAGAAGCATCAAATTCAGTGAGCAGTATTCAGGAATTATTTGTGACACTCTATATATTATAGGGCTGTCAAGCGATAAAAAAATTAATTGTGATTAATTTTTTAAATTGTGCAATTAATCACAATTAAGTGTGCGATTAAAAATAATTATGATTAATCACACTGTTAAACAATAATAGAATACCACTTGTTTAAATATTTTTGGATGTTTTCTACATGTTCAAATATATTCATGTCAATTACAACACAGAATACACTGTGTTATTTATTTTTTATTACAAGTATTTGCACTGTAAAAAACAAAAGAAATAGTATTTTTTCAATTCACCTCATGAAAGTACTGTAGTGCAATTTTTTTTCATGAAAGTGCAACTTACAGATGTAGATTTTTTTTCATTACATAACTGCACTCAAAAACAAAACAATGTAAAACTTTAGAGCCTACAAGTCCACTCATTTCTACTTCTTGTTCAGCCAATCACTCAGACAAACAAGTTTGTTTACATTTCCAGGCGATAATGCTGTCCGCTTCTTGTTTACAATGTCACCTGAAAATGAGGCATTTGCATGGGACCGTTGTAGTTAGCGTCACAAGATATTTACGTGCTAGATGCTAAGGATTCATATGTCCCTTCATGCTTCAACCACCATTCAAGAGGACATGTGTCCATGCTGATGATGGGTTTGGCTTAATAACAATCCAAAGCAGTGCACAGTGATGCATGTTCATTTTCATCATCTGAGTCAGATGCCACCAGCAGAAGCCTGATTTTTCTTTTTTGGTGGTTCGGGTTCTGTAGTTTCCGCATCGGAGTGTTGCTCTTTTAAGACTTCTGACAGCATGTTCCACACCCCGTCCCGATCAGATTTTGGAAGGCAGTTCAGATTCTTAAATCTTGGGTCAAGTGCTGTAGCTATCTTTAGAAATCTCACATTGGTACCTTCTTTGCGTTCTGTCAAATCTGAAGAGAAAGTGTTCTTAAAACAAACAACATGTTCTGGATCATCATCCAAGACTGCTAGAACATGAAATATATGGCAGAATGTGGGTAAAACAGAGCAAGGGACATACAATTCTCCCCCAAAGAGTTCAGTCACAAATTTAATTAACACATTTTTTTTTAACGAGAATCATCAGCATGGAAGGATGTCCTCTAGAATGGTGGCCGAAGCATGAAGGGACATATGAATGTTTAGCATATCTGGCATGTAAATACCTTGCAATGCCAGCTACAAAAGTGCTATGCAAATACCTGTTCTCACTTTCTGGTGACATTGTAAATAAGAAGAGGGCAGCATTATCTCCTGTAAATGTAAACAAACTTGTTTGTCTTAGCCATTGGCTGAACAAGAAGTAGGACTGAATGGACTTGTAGGCTCTGAAGGTTTTACACTGTTTTGTGCAGTTATGTAACAAAAAAATAAATAAATCTACATTTGCAAGTTGCACTTTTATGATAAAGAGATGGCACTACAGTACTTGTATGAGGCGATTTCTTTTTTTATCATTTTTGCAGTGCAAATATTTGTAATTAAAAATAATATACATTTTGTATTCTGTTTTGTAATTGAAATT